ATATTCTATCAAAATATTTCAACATTTGATCTTCCATGAGAGAGATAGGGAGACACCATCAGAAAATGAGACAGAGGAGGAGTGATTCTAGCAGAATGTGTGTGAGAGAGATTCTACCAAAATGTGTGTGTGAGAGAGAGAGAGAGAGAGGGGAAGAATCAATTAATGTGTGAAGAGAGAGAGAGAGTGCGTCTGTGTGTGATTCTATCAAAATATGTACTTTTGCATTAAGAATTACAATGTATCACCATGGTAATGACATAGGAACCATTCTCCCCTTCCCCCCGCCACAAAATAGAACTCCACAAAGCAGGAGACAATTTTTACAACACCAGTGCTAATTCCACAACTAACCCTTTTTTCACCTCAACCACTACGAAATGTAGCAGCCATCAAACACCAAAACAGGAAAAAGAAAGCAAACCAAATTAACATTAAAGAAAATTCATGTAAAGACCAGAAAGAAAACTTAAATCCATGAAAAATCGAATTTATTAAATGCCTCGAGCTAACATTTCTGCATATTCTCTGATCGATCGCTGCCTTTGAAGCTGCATCTCTTCGCGAAACCGGCTAATAAAAGCCTCTGCCCTCAGATCCACCCCCCATGGGGACGTGCCCTCAATCGAACTAGTTGCGCCCAAAACCGAGTCCTTGTCGGACCCACTAGCACTAGCCAATGAGCCCACCTCGGACTTAGTTGCGCCCCACATCGAGCCCTTACCGGATGCAGTTCCACTCACAACTGAGCCCATCTCTAACTTTGCTCCAACCCCAATTGAGCCCAACTTGGGCACACTTGAACTCCCCATCAAGCCTAGCATCGCCCCAGGTGCACCATGTATAGAGCCCAGTAAGGAACTGGATGCACCCACCATTGAGCCCGACATGGACCCAGTTGCACCCACCGCTGAGCCCTTCTCATTCTCCTGGCTCGCCCCACGAAGCTTAGCTGATGGTTCGATGGCATTGGATGAGCTCACGCGCCAACTAAAGAGCTCTTCAACATAAACCGGAGAGAAGTGCCGTTGATGATATCGAAGGATCGTAGTTCGACTCTTAATCCTCTTCTTATGTACCCTGAGAATAGGTTTAGCCTCGTTAATGGCCTTCTTAAGGCCCTTGTTCAGGCTATGTTTGCCTTTGTTCAAGGCCTCAGATCTGTTTAACTTGTATATCTTTTTCTTCAGAGAAGACCTGAGGCCTCTCCATGCCTTCTTCACAGGGACCAGCTTCTTCCCAATTTTCAAGCAAGACATAGAACGCTCAAGGAGCCCTCTCTCTCTCTCTCTCTCTCTCTAGGGTTGTTTGCAAAGATGTCTCTCTCTCTCTCTCTTGCTAGGATTGTTGTTTGCAGAGACGTATCTCTCTCTTGCTATGGTAGTTTGCAAAGATGTGTAAATGCTTGATGGATTGCATGCTTTATATTGAAGTTGGTCTCTCTCAACAAATCTCTCTCTCTCTATAAACAAACAAATTTTGGGGAGGAAGTACGCTAAGTATTTCTTTTTCATTTTGTTTCTGACACTCTTGGTTTTACTTTTTTGTACATTTTGATCTCTGAACGCAATCCTAGTTTTCCCCATCCATACTTCCACTAGAGTCACTAGTATAATAATCTTCTGAAATAGCTTGCAAGGCATGCTCTAGCAGGAGCGTACTGTAGATTAGCTACCTCGGTCAAAAGAGCTACTTGGGAGGATATTTTGATATGAAATTTTGGGAACCACCTAATAATTCTAATCCTTTGATGATGAATAGTTTTCAAATAGAAAAATTGAATTTTTAGTTATTCAATACTTAGATCTTGCCTTGCAGAAATTGGATGGTCACTGTTTAATCTTGGGATGATCAGGTTTTTCCAAGCACATAAAGTATACAATATGAACTTATTTATTTTTTTATTTTTATTTTCTAAGGTTTGTCATATCCACAAAATTTGAAGTCAAATGCTACTAGTTTGAGTTTTACATGAAGGAGCAAATGGATAGTATGCTCCTATTGCGCAGCAACCTTTCCAACTTTATAATTTTTTTTCTTTTTTGGTTTTTTTCACAGAGAGAGAGAGAGAGAGACTTGGTTACCAATTCTATTTGTTCTCAAATATGAAACATTGATACTGTGTCCATATTTTTTTGTGCGTAATTATATGTTCACAAACTCTTAATATAAGAGTCATGTTTGACAATGTAGAAGCACATACGCTTCTTAAAAATTGTTTTTACCATCCTACTATAAAAGTACATCATATCATCTAAAATTACACACCCTCGCTTTTTAATTATATATTAACATTCTTTGTTTTTACAACCAATTTTGAAATGGTCACAATGTCAATTAATGGCACATATATTTGTATGTGTCACTTCAAATGTTTGTTAGAGATTAGGGGCCACTTTTGAAGTATGATCCAAGAAATCTAGTCATGTTTGTAAATTCTAAAGGCATGATGGAATGTGAGGTTATTAGATGGCATTGCTTTTCTCTGTCTAAGTGGGAGGTGAAAGTAGGAGGTGCTTTGCATGTTGGAGAGATTCTTTGGTTGCTTAAAAGTTAAGAGATGTGATCACAAGGCTGTTTTATCCCTTTACTTGCTTTGCTTACTCATTTAATCAAATATAAGCATATGCTTTCTCCATATTATTTATTTCTCCTAAAGTATGCTGCATTGTTTTTTTCTTTATTCTCAACTAACAGTCAAATTTTGGAGTTTCATTGTTCTGGCAGGAACCAAAATCTGAATTTTTTGTGTTTCAAACATAATCAGGAACATTCCGTGAATATAAAGTTTAGTACAAGGGAATAGAATAGGACTGCATGAGATGAGACCGTTATTTTTTACGCACGGACGTCACAAACACCTCAAGCTGTCAAATGTAAAATTAGTCCACCGGGGTGCATATCCCTACAGGTTTTAAAAATTTTCATTCTTGGATTGTGATTGCAGTCAATAGTATACCTTCAGTTGCCCAATTTCAGACTAGAGGTGATTGACCTATTTAAATCTGAGATAAAACATAAGACATCTTATTCTATATTTATGAGCTAGTACAGAATTGGCAATAACTAATCATCAAGCCCAAGCCCGATTCTTCCCAAACAAAATTTATTGTTTTAATATGATTATTTCTAAAAGAGATTCAGAATTTTATATCCAAGAAATCCTCCTAAGAGAGTCTTTTACATAAGGGAGTAAGTATACAGTGTAAGAAGCACTCTTTATAATAAAATATCCTATTGTTTGTTGGGATTTGTTTTATGCAATGTGAATGAATGAGTTGAAATTTTACCATAATGAACTGTTGTTAAGATGTCTTTATTTATGGAAAGAAAGTATATATGATAAGACCATTTTCTTTTGATTCAAAGAGGTTACAATTACTTTTAAGTTGTTAGATATGAAAGCGAGGTGTACTATTGACCAAACTCAAATTCTAAAAAAAAAGTTTTTGAGCTTTATGACACAAGAAGTTACTAGAATTCACGTATCACGGTTAGGGATGAATGTGACATCCTTATACTAAAAATAAATGATTTTATAGTATGCAATGTCGTCTGAAAAACTTGCTACAATTTTCTGAACCTCAAGACAAGATAAATACAATGGTTGAACTTTCATTCAATTTCTTTGAAAAGTGCCAAGGCCCGACTTGAGCAAGAATTCAAATGAAGTGATAAAAAAAAATTCCCCATTTTATCGCTCTTTTAGGGTTCAAAACGTGGTTGAAAAGTTAATCCAAAAGATTGTATACTCTTGCTAGAGCATATTGTGTGTTGACTTCCTCATGTAAATTCTTGTCTAAGAGCATTATTAAGACCTTAAATTTTAGATACGTATCCTTCCCAACCTAGCCATCCACCTCAAGATATGTATCCTTTTCAACCAATCTACATGGCCAAATCTAAGTATTCAAAAATTTATAATTCGATTTCTTTATTGAAAGCATCACGACTAAGACTAAATCCTAAACTCTGAAATCGAAAAATCCATGCTGAGTACGTCTTTTGGTCTTGTAAATGTACAGCATGCTCCTGTGCGAGTGCAACATCTCTACTCAAAAGCTAAAAACCATATCAGATACACTCTCTCAGGTACACATGAGCATATGCCTGCACACAAATAAAAGAAACAAAAAGAAAGTAAGAAAATAATTCTTTAGAAGAAGGAAATGTTGAAGGTAGTTATTCTTGGCTTTTATAAATGCATCATTCCGATTACTTTTGAGTGGAGGAGACCGACCTCTTTTTGGAGCCTGCCTACAACTGTGGCCCGGCTTTGACCATCGTGCTTGACCTTGGAATCTTACATATGTCCTCCATACTCCTCTCCATTTTGTTGCTAAGCATTTTTCTTCATAAAATCAGTAGGAGCATAGTATACATTTACTCATTTTTGTTGCAAATTACATGTTCATTGGTTGAAAGTACGAGAAAAGATATAAAGACTTATGACTTCATTGAAGATATGACATTTAATAGAGCAGAATGACAGACTAAGATTTGTGTACTGACCTCAATTAGTTAGATAAAAGACTTTGATGATGATGAGATTACATGCTCTTGTTCTCGTGACACAAGGTCTTTGGTCTCATGTTACAAGGTCTTTGCTCTCATGTCGAGACCCTAACACAGAGGACATTGGTCATGTATAAATGTCGAGAAATCATTGGGGGTACTTGAGGGGACTGGGACTTGAACTCAACTCAGGTGTTGACACCTCAACATGGGGGACATCAGTGACGTAGTGTTGAGAAACTTGCGACATTTATAGACACCGACACCGACACCAGTTAACACTTCCCCTGGGATATTTTTTAGGACCCAAATTTTGGAATGTAACTTCCTTAGTCTTCTGTTTTTAGAACCCAAACTTTCGGGAAGTAAATACCTCAACCTAGCCTTCAACCTTAAATAAATTGAAAGAGAATAAAAAGGAAAAATAAAATTAATACCACTCTACTGTGCCTGTTAAAGAGTTTTTAAAACTGAATATGAGCTGTCCAATTTTTGGACTATTAGATCTAGCTATTTAGGAACTCAAAACGCATCCTGTATTTTACAGAAATTTATGTGCGAAGAGAGTAAAAATTATGCAATTACCCTTTGTTCAAGATTTTTCAAACACTTTACAATGAGGTCCTTTTTTTTTTATTTTTTTTTTCTTTTCAAATTTGGCCTGGTTCAATGTTTTCAAAATCAAAATGCTTTTTTAATTGTTTCATTTTTTGCCATTTGTGGGGCTGTCCAATGCATAAGATATCAAACCACCCTATTTTTGGTGCGGTTAGATATTAGTAACATTGAACCGCTCAAATTTTCCTTTCTTCTTTTTTAATTTAAATGCAATCTCTGATGTTTAAACATCAAACCATCTCATTTAAACCCACCATATGAAATGATAGGGCGGTCTGACATCTGAGGCATTGGACTGCCAAATAAACAACAAATGTTTTTCAAATTTTTTTTGTAAATGATGGGGTTTGATGTTCTCAACAAACTTGATAAAAATAAAAAAGCAAAGAAGAAAGGCCTCATAGTAAAACTTTAGAAAATATGAACCAAAGGGTAATTCTTCAAATTTAACCAGGTCCCCACATAAAATTCCCTTTATTTTTAACATCATCTAACAATTCTAAAGTAAATCATAAAATAGTAAAAACGAAGAAATCTCTTCTATGGAGACCATTTGCCAGAGGAAGCAGGTACATAACGTGCTCCTGCAGGAGTACACGCTCAACTTATAATCATATGTATCAATTTAGGTTTCAAATGGGGTTTTCAAATTGGGTGGGTTGGGGTTACCTTATACACAAAAGATGTGTGATAGGCCTCCTTTGCCACTTTTGGGGTTTACAAATTGGGTGGGTTGGGGTTCCTTTGCCACTTCTGGCATTGTGGAATATGATTGTGCAGTTATCCATTCCAATATTCTATTCCAATGTAGAGTACAAATGGTACCCATTTGTCCCAAGGTTGTGGTTGTATAAGGATGAAGCTCTAAACGATCAAAGTAAGACGTACTTTCAAATAGTATCGAAAGATGTTTTAGTACCAAAAATACTTATGATGGTTTGAAATTTTATTTTCATCTTTAATTATAAAATTTAAAGCTTCGAAAATAGTCTAAATCATGTAGATCTATGATAATGCATTACAAGATACACTATTTCTAATATTTGAAGTCCATATTTTTTTTCACCTCTATATATCTCAAAGTCCAGGATTTGAAAATTTTTCGACATTAAAACAGCTTCTTGCAGTGAATTTTTTGAGGTTCGCCTTAATTTGATTGTTTAGAGACTCAATTTTTTATACACTTTTCCCTTGTCCCCATGGTGCCTTGGTTCATTCGTCCTTTCATCTTCTATTTGACAACATTCTGAACAGGAAATCCCTCTCTCTCTCTCTCCTATTTGACAACATTTTGGATTGAGAATCTCTCTCTCTCTCGTACTTCTATTAGATAATATTTTGGACTGAGAAGCTCTGTCTTTTATTTTTCCTTTTTTTTTTAGGAAAATTATTTTGGCGAGCTTTTGCTCAAAAGCAGTCTCCTTCGAAATTATCTTTAATTGTGAGTTTTGAAACAGGCAGCTTGGAATATTGCCATAGCCCCACACAAACTTCCCAAAAAACCAAAAATTTGCAAACCCTTAATGCCATATCTCGCTTTTGATGATTATAGTCATTACGACATTTTTATACTAAAAGTAAACAGTCTTTAAGGTATACAATCTCTTGTATTAAATAGCATTCAAATACTAAAAACATTTCCCATGACTGAATAATTCATATTTGTGTTTCAAAAATTTACTAATAACAAAAGCTAAAATATTTTGTGATCCTACAAGAGTGTATTGTATATTTATTCCATGGGGAAAAACACTAGGAATATTTTTACAAGTACACAATTTGAGGATTTAATTTTAGGAACAGCTCCCAACCTATAATATTTGGATTGAACAAAATTCATCAACTATTTGGATAGCCACATCTATTTTTGGACTGAAAATGGGCTACGGGATTTTGTCAGGCCCGGCGTTAGAGATGTGCAACTGGAATTTTATGTGATTGCCGCATACCAATGAAGCTAAAAGGCAAATTCTATAAGACAACTTTGAAATCAACTTTACTATATGGGACAGAATGTTGAACAATCAAAAAACAATATACTTATAAAATGAGTGTAGCAGAGATGATGATGTTGAGACGAATGAGTTGCAAGACAAGAAGGGATAGAAATTGAAATGAATACATTTGAGAAAATTTAAGTGTAGAACCAATAAGCGATAAAATGAAAGAGAGTGGACTTAAGTGAACTAACCATGTATTGTGTAGACCCAATAAAACACCATTTAGGATGTGCGAGTTAGTTCAAGTGAAAAGCTCAAAAGGATAAGAGATAAACTCAAACGGATATAGTTGGAAGTAACGAGCAAAGATATGAAGACTTATGGCTTCACTGAAGGTATTGCACATAATATAGCAGAATAACGGATCGGGATTCATGTAGCCGACCCCAATTAATTGGGAAAAAGCTTTGACGATGATAATGATGACGACTACAAAATACAACACGAGGGGCAGAACTAAAGCTCGCCTGGTCCAGGCTTGGCCCGGCACATTCATTGCCCTAGTCTATTTAATATTTCAAAACCTTTATCTTTTTTTTTAAATATTGAAAATATTCATTTTGTGATTTTGAAATGAATTCCAAAATTCCATATAAATACTTATTCATAAGTAAGTCTTTTATTCGAGAGAGTCAGTGTAGAGTGCTCAAATAAAACAATTGAGTGCATAGTGCTCTAACAAAAGAAAACAAATATATGCTATTGGTCTTTCCTAACAAAAATATAAACACTCCAGGACAAAAGGAACAAAAATAAGAGAGAAGATCTATAAACACAAAAAATGAAGAAGACAAAAAACAAACGTTACAAAATGTCACCGCACTAACACAAACGATTACGAACTTTCACCATTTCATTTATGAACTACACAACAATTGTTCTCAATAATAATAAATCTATAAAGTAGATAAAAACAAATATAGAACAACCTTGCGGATTTCCACGTACAATATCTACGGTTTTGGTTGCATCTACGATCATCCACGAAGAAAACCAACCATGATTACACGATTACATCCTCCCTTTGCAAAGTATACAGATAGTGACAAGTGGGTGCCTAAACTTTGGGTTAAATCATATATATAGAGAAAAGAATAAAATTAAAATAGAATATTCACTATAAAAAAGTGGGACTTAGTACAAAATATAAAATATATAGGACTATTTTAAATTTTTGAAAATAAAAAAGGGATTTTTTAGTTAATTTCCCTATTTTTTATTTGTTAATATCAATTTATATTTAAAACTCATTAATGGAAAAAATATAGGCTATGATTTTTAAAGTAATGAATTAACGGGTTGGTTTTTTTTCTCGAGCAATTTACAGATAGACATAAAATAAATTTGGAATAAGAAATTAGGACATTTTATTGCGAGGTCCAAAATTTGTTAGTTTTACCCCATTTTGAGTTTCCAACTATCAAACCACTCAAAACACAATGAAACTAAGTGTTTGAAGGTCCAACTTTCGAACTGCTTGAACACTTTGTATCAAACCACTCAAAACACAATGAAACTAAGTGTTTGAAGGTCCAACTTTCGAACTGCTTGAACACTTTGTATTTTTGTGTTGACCCATTAAAAAATTAGACTCTCGAACTAGGGATAAAGTTCGAATAAAAAACTAAAAAATTTAAGGCCTCACACCTAAAACATGAACCAGATTTTAATTCTGAAAATTATTTTGGGTCAGTACATAAATTCTCCTTTTTTCATTTAAAAATTTGGAACAAGACCTTACACTTATATATCAAGCATCAATGAATATATTTAAAGAATATATAGTTTTAAGATAACCAATTTCGATCTTCATCGTTTATCCGTGTTCTGGATTGCATAAAATTTGGTTCAGGGAACAGGGAACATGATGTATGATAGGGAGTGAGAAGGTTGGTGATAGATGGGCATTTTATTTTGTATTATATTTTATTTGAACCAATTCAAAGGAAAAAAAAACTAGTAAAATAAAATGAACAGAAACAAAGATAAAAACAACAAAGTAGTTTGTTTTGCAACACGATTGCATTCACTTTTTGCAAGGTGTATACATTAACATGACAATTTTGCAAGGTGTACGCATTAACTTGCCATGCAACAGATCAATGCTGCCACATGACTTCTCTCAAACAAGATTCCCCGTCCCACCACCCTATATAAGCACTTATGACCCCTCACTCTCTTCCCATCTCCTTCGCTTTGAAGTTTTATCCATCTACTTCTAAGTCATGGCTCACACTAAGTCCATACTTACCTTTGTGCTCTTATCTCTACTTGTTTGTGCTTTTGCTGATAGGCGTCAGTCTCAGAGGAGGCTAAGTGATGCTCAACAATGCCGGATGAATCGGATATCGGGAATCCGCCCGACTCGGGTTATTCGATCTGAGGGCGGCATTACTGAGCTCTGGGATGAGGACAGGGATGAGTTCCAATGTGCGGGTGTTGCCGCGACTCGGAACACCCTTAATCCCAATTCTCTCTACCTGCCCAGCTTCTCCTCTGCTCCTCAGATAGTTTACATTGAACGAGGTCCTTTTGTCTCCCATTCCTCTTTATATATATATATATATATATTTTGCTAGCACCTCAAAGTTTCCACCAGATATGTTTCTCTTTGTTCTTTATTCTCATAGAAACAAACGTAGGTCATTCAATTGATATAGGGTGTCACAACACTTACGGCTTGTTCAAATTTTTGGAAGACGCACGTTTAGAAATCCCATCTTTCAAAGAAGTGGATACCCCAAGTTCTATGATCCCTAATAGAATTAATGGCATCTACTTTTTATCTTAAATATATAATATATGGCTTGTACTACAAGATCCACTTCTGTGATCCCTAGTAGAATTAATGGCATCTACTTTTTATCTTAAATATATAATATATGGCGTGTACTACATGATCCACTTTACTGTAAAATTTCTCCAGTATCAAACTAAATATATAATATATGGCGTGTACTACATGATCCACTTTACTGTAAAATTTCTCCATTATCAAACATAGAAGTGCTGAAAACGAGTGTTCATGATTGCCATCCACCGAATGCACTCCCATTCGTTCTGGAGTACATTGTGTTAATGGTCAATGGACCGGCCCAGTTTGCGAACACTGGTATAAACTCTTGAAACTTGTCCCAAGAAGTCCAAACAAGCTAATATAGCCAGCCTTTTCTTGACAGGTAGAGGCATAATTGGATTATCAGCCCCAGGCTGCTCAGAATCATTCCACAGCGGCGAGAGTGGCTCAATCCAACACCGGAAGATACGTGGCCAAGGCTTCAGAGACCAACACCAGAAGGTTCAACGTATAGAACGGGGAGATGTCATTGCCATTCCGCCGGGCATAACACACTGGTGCTACAACGACGACAACTCTGAGGAGCTCGTTGCCTTTACTGTCACCGATGTCACGAGCGACTACAACCAGCTTGACACCAAACAAAGGGTATGGAGAGAGTTTTCTCATAATGGCATAATAGTCCATTGACTATACAATGTGGGATTATTTTCATGAGCTTTGCATCGGTATAATGGTAAATCTTAATAAAACTAAGCTGGTGGTAATGGTTTATTTTTTTCCCAGCAATTTTTTATAGCTGGTGGGCAACCTAGGGGCCAAAGGAAGCAGGGAGAGGGAGAGCGGGGGCAAAAAGGGAGGCAGGAGGGAGAATATGGAGAGGAAGAACAGAGAGGAGAACAAGGTAAAGAGAAATTGATACAGACAATCCTGCCACAGATCGACACGAGGTTCCTAGCCGAAGCCCTCGACATTCCCATAGAGTTGGCACAGAAGATACAGAGGGAGGATGAGAGGGGCATCATCATTAAGGTCGAGAAGGAGGGGTTGAGAATTCTGTCCCCCGAGGGCGAGGAGAGAGAAGAGGAGAGAGAAAGAGAGACGGGCCCGAGAGCTAATGTTATTGGGGTTGGCGAGAGGTACTGCAATGCGAAGATTAGGCAAAACATAGAGTCACTGAGAGAAGCTGACATTTACTCACGCCATGGTGGCCATCTCAAGACCATCAACCGCAGGAACTTGCCTATACTGGACATCTTGGACATGAGTGCTGCGAAAGTAACCTTGTACTCGGTATGCCCCTCCCTTTCTCTCTCTGTCTCTGTCTCTCACTCTCTCTCAACTCTTGCTGCTGTTTTCTATACTTACAGGATGCCATCTTGGCCCCACATTGGTCGATAAACGCTCACACGATCGCCTACATCACCCGTGGCGAGGGCCAGATCCAAATTATCGGCACCAACGGCCAGAAGGTGATGGATGACAGGGTCCGACAAGGTGATGTGATCATTGTCCCTCAGTTCTTCACATCTATGTGCAAGGCCGGAAGCCAAGGAATCGAGTGGATCGCCATCAAGACCTCAGACCTCCCCATGAACAGCCCACTTGTGGGTTACACTTCAGCTATCAAGGGGATGCCCATTGAAGTGCTCACCAATGCTTATAGAATCTCAAACCAGCAGGCACAAGATATCAAATATAACAGGGAGGATCAGATCATGATCTTCCCCTCTTCCTCCCGCTCTGCCTCCTCTTGAAGAGCAAGTTTTGGCTTCAGCTTCTTATATAGACGCATATACACATATGTGTGCATAAATAAGAGAGAGATGTAACTCAGTGTCTTCTTTCCAAGACTACTCAATAAAACATGCTTCTGTTCTGTTCCATGTGTCTAATTTGTTCTCTTTCTTTTGTTGGCTATGATTTTTATTGCTCTCCCTCTTGTTTGGCAAAGACTGGTATGCTAGCTATGGGGGTTAGTTGCATTTGGTGCCCTCATCTGATATGTGGCATTCTCTTTCGTGGGTAGTTTTGGATATGAACTTTGATGGTGTTCGAGAATATGGTTTTCAAATACTGACGAAAGCTGACCAGCCTAAGCAAGCTAACTTGCAGATGAAAATCAGAAGAGAAGAGGGTGGGGAGTTGTTAAGGCAAGATTTCATTCCCATATCCACCTACCCTCTTATAATATTGTAAGCATTTACCTCACTCAGACTGCACAAGTAGAGTTTCTCAGATTTAAAGAAGAGTAAAACAAAACTTCTCTCTCAGAACCCTGATATCAGAAATCATGCACTCTCACTCCACATAAACCCAGGATCTTCAACCACAAATCAAATGCTTATTTCTGCGATCGAAACACGATCACATCATGCCACACTTCGACTTCGGGCACAACTCTGCAAATTTGCATTTAGGACCTTCAAGCCTAATCTCCTCCAGTGCCGATCTTTCTTTCCCTCTCTCTTCCTTCATATTGAATAGAGCCACTAAGACATGCCAGGTCCAAAATATAACATAGCAGTAAGTCCTCAAGCTCTGAATTTCCCATATGATGAGCAAAACAGGAGCCACTCTGATTCTCTTCTCTCTAGGTTCTCATGGATCACTATCTTGAAATTTAGAGAAATGGGGTCCATATAAAATCCATTATATCATTTAAAACGTCATTTCAAGTGCTCGAGTGATCCCCAATTTGAAGGTCATACGGTTACCAATGAAGAGAAAACAAGAAGAAACAGAAGAGAGCCATGCATATCATTTTGTCTTGGCGATGAAATTTTCATATTCGAAGCTCCCAAATACTGGTTTTGTTGATGTAGCAGAGGCTGGAGCAGAAATGAGGGTAAAGTAGGATGAGGAGAGAGGTTGGAAGAGTGGGGAAGAAAAGAGATTCGGCTTTGGTGAAGGTGGGAGAAGAGAGAAGTTGGTTCCAAGATCTGCAGATGATCTTGAACATAAGCATATTCTTCTTTTTTCTCTGGAAATTTATACATTACCTCCTGGACCATACTTTCTAAGCATACCCTACCCCAATATTTTTTAAACCACATTACTAATCTTAATGGTTTTTTATTTGCATCCACCCAGAATTAAAAAAGTAGCTTTTCTAGGATGAAAATACCGTTGGCGTAGTTAAGATGGATTTTCTCCCTTAAAACTTGAAATTTGAAATATTAGGATTTTCTCCCTAAAAACTTGAAATTTGAAATATTAGATAGAGAAACCATCTGAAACTTTTTAGAGAGAAAAACTATTCATAATTTTAGAATTTTAAATAGAGAAACAACTTCAAAATTTTTCAAAATTTTTAGAGAGAGAAATTATCTCAAATGTCAAATTTTAGATAGAAAAACTATCAAAATTTTGATAGAGAGCGTAATATTTAGAGGGATAATAAATAAAATTGAAATTTGAGAAATTGAGAATACTTTATTACATAGAACAGACAATTTTACAGCTGTACACAAAAATGAGAAACTAGACAAAATTTGAGGACTGTATCCAGTCCCAACCACAATAAATGGGTGGGGCAAATTAAACGCCTGTATAACAATTTAAAAAAAAAATGCCTCCAAGCATTCTTTGCAAAGTATATATATATATATATATATATATATATATATATCTTTTTTCTTTTTGTTGTGTAGACATCAAAGCAGAAAGTCTTTCATGGGATCTTCAAAGTGAATTCTCTTCATTCGTAAGAGGGGCTCAATTGCCGAACTTAATCCAGGCTTCTTGACTAAATACATGTTCTATATAGTTTGATCGATGAGCCAAATTAGAGGTACATGTCTGACCATAACTTAACCCACTACTTGTTATAGAAGATACAAAGAGTATGGAATACAGTAATGAACCATATAGTCATATGATAACATTACAATAATAAAGGTTATCACTGCCCAATCAATGGGTTGGATGGCGACTGAGAGAGAGAGTTCAACTATATGACATGTTTAGTGGGGTGCTCTCACACTCTATTATGGCCCAACCCATTGACAGAACAGTGATAACCCTCATGATCACCAACATCATCATCCGAACATTATTCCAACTATTTGGGATCGGCTAACATATTTATGATAACATACATCCCACATAATAAAATATATAGGATATAATCAAAGGAGGTGCAAACAATACCTTATCATTCCATTTCACATTATATTTACATTTTCTTTTCGTCTTTCTCCTCTCTTCCTTTCGTCCTCCTGCCATAGCACAAACCCAATGTCAGTAACTTTACTACCACTCGAGTTTTTTCTAAGGAAATCATATCATAGACCACTTGTGTATAGGAAATGGTGCTCCACAGGGGCATTCATTGTCCGTACCATATGATGGATAGTGGAGATTAACCGTAGATTCTAGTGAACAGCGACCAGCTGGCTACGAGTTAATCACCACCATCCATTGCTCAGATATCAGAATGAATGGTGGTTGCCCTGTGCACCATATCCCATACACTTCTGCATAGTATATTTACTGTTGTTTCTATTAAATGTCAATTACCCTATGCTTTGGATTTTAGATACATCAAATTGTCACCTTCTTGAGCGCTTCAGAGAGTAGTCTCTGGTGAAGAACAAGGTAACTAGGTGCATCTGATCCCCAATTAGCATGATTTTTTTCTTTAGTCTGCGAAGATTTCTCTGTAAATTATTTCATTGGGCAAATAGAACCTAGCATGCCTACTTACTGGCAAAACGAAGGAATCAAACTGGAGAAGAGGGCAGAGAGAGAGAGAGAGAGAGAGTATTACACAAACCTTTTGAGGCTTCTGTCCTGTCCATGTTTTCCTTCAGGCGACCATCTGCAGTATCTGAAGCCTCAATTCCGGCCAAACCAGTACAGTAGCTGTTCTTTATAATTTGCTCGCAACACTTATAGCCCCATTGATGGTCATTCCACCATGAACCCCATACACTTGACTTGTGAGATTGTTGATGTATACATCCTCCTCATATGTCCTATTGGGAATAGATTTCTCCTATAAATAGACCATATAAACATCAGTGATTCCAAATTGATAAGAAAGAAACCAAAAAAAACAGAAAAGAATAGCAGTAATACTTGAGGCATCTCATGGTCAAAACAAAAGCTAAAATCATTTTAAATACAGGGTAGATGTAAAAGAACAATGACAAATCTAGTTGAATAAGAGTTCCATCCATCTCTTTTCCTTTTCGGTTTCTCCTTTTAATAAGTAAAAATGATGCAATTAAAATTGAGGTTCACTACAAGGACTGTCATATGGTCACTATAGAAATAGAAGAGTCACACCCATGAAAAGGATAAAACAGAGAGGTAGCCTATTATAGAGAGTAAGAGCTCACCTGGCCCTTTATAATCCTACCGGCATGATCATATGCAACGTTTGTCTCACATTGACCTAAGAGAAGTTCCCTAGGGAGTTCTTCCTGACAGGAAGCATCTCCATAATTGTCCAGGATGGTCTCCTTCATTTGAGACTCCAGTTTTTCTTTTTTGATCATAAATTCTCTGTGCAGCAACTCAGCCTGAGCTGGAACTTCTTGCATATGAATATCTTGTCCTTTTCCAAAAGCCTCCAAGGATTGCATGCTAAGTTGCTTAAACTCCAATGCTTGCCCACTGATCCTGCATTGGTATCACCCTGAAATTTTTTAATAAGTGGATATAGAGGCAAGCCAAAAAAATAAATAAACAAATAAATAACAACTTTGGCCTTATGAGTTACAAAAAGTAAAGTACCTAGACACTTACTCCATAAAATTTCTCATTTGGATCACTATCTGGCAGAGGATCCTCTCGCATGGAATGAGTTTTCGGGTCATAATGCGCTGCAGTCAAGTCTAGATTCAAAAGAAACTTTGCTGCGTCCTCTCGTATGCGCAAATTCCAGTGAGAAAATTTCATTCAAGATCAGCATATTTAAACATAGGAAAATATCAGGGCGGTACCTAAAAGAAGATCATGCAGGGTAATCAAGAAACTTGAAACATAAGGAGAGTACCTTGAAAACACTAAATTTTTAAATAACTTCTAATCCAGGTCCAGTGTTTTAAAACTCAGATAAGATGTTCTAAATCATCAAATGGTCAATGGGACCAGATGTTTTCTTGATCTTTTAAGTTTCTAGACAACTCAAAGAATATCCATTTCTTCCAGATACAGTCCTGATATTTTCCATACATAATTATGTACATTATCATAGTTTTCTCCAATTAAATAAGTAGTAAAACCTGAGGCTCATGCTTGGCAAAAAAAAAATCCAAGGAACACTTAGACATCACAGATAACTACCTAACAGTTCCTGTGCTTCCAACTCCTGTAGTGCGCACACACTTATCTACCTTTGCAAAATCTATTTGTTTGTTCTCATCAACCTTGGCTTCATCGACCCTCAAGGCATCTTCACTATCCTGCTCATCACTAACCTTTCCATTCATATGCTGATTATGATTCTTCTCTTGTAGCTTCTTCAGCGGTTGCTCTTTTTGGTACTTCCTTCTCGCCTCATATCTTTCAATTACATGAGCGTATGTAGATGGCTTGAATCCATTCCAACAACCACGTTTCGCTTCATAATTGAGTTTCAATGCCTCCACTTTCTCATCGGGTGCGACGTGTTTATTCGTCCATCTTGCTCCCACATTTCGAGGTCTTTCCGTGCATGACTTATTCTCATGTGTCATTGCCCCACAACTATAGAATCCACAAGGTGGAAACAGCTTAAAATTTCAGTCATAAAGTTTCTCTGTTAGGAGATGGACAAACAAAATCTTTAACTTTATACACATATTCTGAGTTGACTCACCCTACTAAAGTTTACTTGACTCAGATCAATATATGTTATAAAAAATAACAAACTCAAAGCTCTACACAAACATGGGCCTGACTTGGGAACTTTTGTGAGTCAGTCCAATTTACAGTTTTAAAACTCTTGACTAAGCATATTCATGTCCAGTTTTTGGAGTAGTGCACTGGTGGATAGTTCTGTAGAGTCTGCCATAATGCTATTATCTACAGCATACAGTGTACAACCAAGCAACAGAAAAACTAGAGAACAGAAATGCAAATAAATGAAAACTCCACTTACATTTCACAAGCGCCTTTTCTATAATTTCCAGCATGGAATAATTTTGCACCTCTATCATACCATGTCTTGGCATAGTTTGCGTCCAATTTCCAATTTTCTTTGGTGCTTCAAACTCTAAGAAAAGAAAGAAAGTCATATGTCACATAATAGATATAGAATCTGAACCTTCTACAACAGATTCATATATAAAAAGGGTAGGTCAACTAAAATTTGTACAAAATGTCTTACCTGTATCGCAGCATTAAGGTACCAAGGCACTGGTGACATATACTGTGGGATATGTGGGTTGATCTCGTGGCCATCTTCATCAACTTCTGCAGGAGCAATACCTGCTTTTTGCGCCACTTCCAATTCCAGCCGTTTGCGATGGTCTTCTATTGACTTGAAAGGAACTGAAGGAAACATTAAAAATTGTTCTTATTTTTCCTCATCCATTAAAATGGAAAGAGAAAAAAAAATTACTTCTTCTTAGTTCTTGCAGCATATAATCCATGACCAAAAAAAGAGAAAAAATATTTATTTTTATCACCTTACATAATGTCTCAAAACCCAGACAGAAATTGTGCACCCTCATTGTCAAAATAATTTTTTTCTTTGAAAATACTTTGAAGAGA